TCTACTATCATTCAATTAGCTATAATAATATAATTCTTATAGTAAATGATATAATAATTTTACAATAATAAATAATTATTATAATTATGCAGTGGAGCACTGTTTATATGTTTCTCGCTTATACATATTTTACATTTATATAACATGCGATTTCATCTTGGTCCCCATTCAATCCTGTTTATTTTAATAATAAAATACGAGGGTTGGAACTTTAATAGTGGCAACTATTTATTTACAAGGAATACAAAAGTGATTCATGTCACCATGTTTTACAGTCCTTCAATATAGTCTCCAGCATTGTGTACAACCCGTTTCCAACGATGTGGAAGTCGCAGAATACCTGTAGCAGCGCCTGTTTTGTTGATAGTTTGAATGGACCGGTCTACTGCCACAATAATCTCAGGAACAGTTTGGAAGCCGAGGTGCTACGAAGTGGGTTCCTTCATCTTAGGAATTAAGTCATAGTCAAAGGGCTTAGATCTGGGGAGTATGGTGGATGGTAAAGCATTTCCAGCCCCATCACTTGAACAAATCAGTCACAGCTTGCGCTGCATGCCGCCAAGCATTGTCATACAAAATGAGAGGAGAGCTCTGCAGAAAGTGTCGCCGTTTTTTTCTCAAAGCTGGTCGGAGATTGTGCTCCAAAAATGAGCAGTAATACTGCGCAGTGACGGTTTGCTGTGGGGGAACGGTATGCGTTAGGATGACACCATCACAGTCGTACACGAGAATCACCATAACTTTCACATTGCTTGGGTTCTGACGAAATTTCGAACATCGTAGTGACCCGTGATGACGCCATTCGTTTGATTGGCTTTTCAGTTCTGGCTGGTACGATCGAGCCCAAGTCTCATCCAGCGTAATGATACGGCGTAAAAAAGCATCTCCTTCGCGCTCATAGCGCTCCAGGTGGGTTCGGGCAGCATCGTATCGTAGCCATTTCTGCATTTTCGTCAATTGATGTGGAACCCATCGTGAAGCAATTTTTCTCATGGACAGGCGTTCCTTCAGAATGTGCAGCACAGTCGTATGCGCTAATCCTGTTTGTCCGGCCAGCCGACGAATCGTATGACGGCGATCACTATCCATTAGTGCGGCAACAGCTTGCACGTCTGCATCGCTGACATTCAGACGACCCGGCCGCAGCATGTCTGCCACGTTTTGGCGTTCTTCATTGAATGCTTTCACCCATCTTGCTACGGTTCTGCAAGGCAATGCAGATTCCCCGCAAGCCTTTTGAAGACACTGTCGTGCTGTACGACCTCTGGCACATTCAATTTTTATCCAACATCGTTGTACTTGTTTTGAAAACATCCTGACAATACTTACTTTAGACCGCGAGCTAATACATGGATTCGTTCTTCGCGTCACTCTGCTTGCGCGTGACGTAGGCAGGACGAGTCTTTTTGCTGAGAGGTAAGGTAGGTATGTAGTTTACGTTTGGTATACGCGATATTCTTTGGTTTTGTTGCGTAGCGTTTTTTCAGCTGTGTTGCCACTATTAAAGTTCCAACCCTCGTATTTCTTTAATTCCTCGGATAACTTCGGTTATACACCGCTTATGCTCGACTTACTGCATTGGTTTAACATCTTGCAGTCCAAACACTCAAGTATTTTCCCCAAAAATGAGGATTGAGGAAGAGAAGGCATGAGACATATATATATATATATTTTGCGGGTGTTTGTATAATGTTATGTTTTCAAACATCATTTAATACTATTTATTTATTTCCCCTCCTCCCACAAATAAGTAAGTAAATAATCTTGCACTGTATACAAAGGCGCACATTTACCACTTTGCCTCAGTCGAAAAATACGCACGGCTGTGTGGGTAATATTATGCCAGCTTTCAGGTTAGTTGGGTGGTGACGTATTCATTGAAGAGGCAAACCAACTCCCGAGCTGCTAATATTGCATTAGTAGTTTTGTAGGATTTTTTTTGGAGGAAAGTTTTCTTGAAAATGATCAACCATATTCTTATTAGCCAATTCCTTTATGAAGGCAATTCTTCCCTTCAGATAGCACTCGTGTACCTTACCATAACTTATGAACAATGAAACAGCATTTTTAAGCGATTCTAGTATTGCAAGGACACATGTATTTAGGTTCTGCAGCGAGTTAAATAACAGGATAATTCCTGTAACTTTTATATAATCTTGTATCGTCTGGGTTTACTCTGATTTCCCATATCCCTTAATCTTATTATGGATTGTGTAAAATCTTCTTTGGCCTTTTCCCAGATTTGTAATGCTTTGAGTCTGAACTGCATTGTTGTGACTAATCTCACTTGTTTGACCTCATTATCAAAACAAGCGCATGAAATTTATCATGGCCAGAAGTATAAGATTACGTCTATTATTGGCAAGAACCTTGAGCACTACATGGGTGATAGTATGATTTTGCCCAATTTTGAGAAAGAGCATTCTGGGGAGTGGGTCAGACTGTCTCCCCTTCTTCACCTACCACAAAACCACATGAGACAGCTTTTGGCTCGCCATATATTTAGAGTTGTCCCAAGCTGCCAAGACACTACACATTTAGAAATATCCATGCCTTCTTCAGGATTCGAACCCAGGCTCTTCGGTGTGGTAGTCAGAGTCGCTAATCACTATCCAGCAGCTTGAGAGTCTGAACTTTGCAATAGCACTGTCATCGTTTAGAGAAAAAGATTTGTTAAGATGCTTCATCAGCAACATTCTTACTTCCAAGTCACTTACCAAGGGATGCATTGCAATATGTATGATTTCTTCAATTGATCAATAGGTGTAAAGTAGCTAGGCAGATGTTTTCTTAAAGCTTGAATAGTCTTAATATATTATCTCAGGTGCTGCCTTAGAATCATTAGTAGCAATTATTCTTTTTATCAAAATCTGCAAGTGAAATAGTCTCATTCAGGCTATGTTAATTGCAATAAGATCATAGTAGTCTCACCGTAGTTTAGGATCCATCCTGGCATCACTTTTCTATTGTAGTCTATATTTGATAGATGAAGATGTATACCAGCTGTGTCCTCAAAGATAATTTCATCTCATATAGGAGAGTGTTTAAAAAATTAATTACTTCAGTCACCTTTTGTTTCAATTTTGATTGTTTCCTTTTTCAAAAACTTTTCTGTTAGATCGAGTTTGTTCAGAGAAGAGATGACAGAAAGAAGCTCTTGATACACTACATAACAGTGATTCCAATGAAATCATTATACAGTAACTTTGTATGGATTAATACTTGATTTCAGCTCATGACCTTTCAGGTAAGTTGGAATTTTACAGGAAATTGCACAAATACTTAGCCTTAATCTTCATGTAATATGTAATTAGATGTAATATTGTAATTAGATGGTTTGGTCTGACTACAGCAAACCACATGGGGATTACTTGTCTAAGAGAAGGAATATTTTGTAAAGGATATTCTAAGAACAAATAGCTAATATTTACATCACAAATGAGAAAAAAGCACAAAAGCGGCCATACAACAACTAGCTCATTCATCAGGATTTCAGCCCAAGGCAAATTACTAGTGCGCAGCAGTTTTAATTACTGTATTTGCCAGCATATAAGATTCACCCCATTTTTTATGCACATTTTTGAAGGATAAAACTTTATTACTGATCATTATAATTCTGCCAAGTTCTTAAAATTTTCACAGTTGGGGTGACCCAAAATGCCTCTCTGCAGCCCTTTTTCCATCTTCTTTAGCATACATAACCACACATAGCTTGTATGCTATGTTATAGCAATGTTGATATTGTTCTTAAGCCATGACTTGCCAACAAATTTAAGAAAATTGAACAGTAGAAATTTCACACACTTAAAAGTTGCTCACAAAAATTGGAAAGTTTAAACAAACCCAGCTGTGATCGTCGGTGACAGTGCATGCGTATTCACTGAGCTCTACTTAACTGTAATGTTCCCACACTCTGCAAGGAAACAAGAAAAAAACTGCATAACTACGAATAGAGGAAATTTCCGGAAATGAATGTAATCAGAAACTGAGTATCAACATATTTTCCTGATCTATTTTTAAAACTTCTGTTTTCCAGTTTTTTTCTGGCACCTGTTTTCCAGATCTATTTTTGAACGAAAAAAAGTGAGTCTTATACATCGGCAAATACGGCACCTGGCTGCTGTAGACAAATTAAATGGAAAATATGCAGAACTAAATTTTGTTTATCTAAAATACAGATTTTGTTTTAGTGATACTTTATTATCATACTGATACTGCTGTAGTTAACATTGTTTTGAGATTCTTACACAAATGTACACATTACTTAGCTTTGGAAAATGCATATCCGAATAAAATAAGTAAAATGTCAATAATGACAATTATTGTGCACATATTGTTTTGGTTATGACACCTTTCCAGCCTAGAAGACTAGATTTACTGCTTTACCACCTCATTTGCCTGTTTAATATCAAGGAATTTTATGTAGTAATTGTAAAAATTAGTTTCTTGCTCATTAAAATTATATTTTTTGCATACACTCAGAGTTAGGATTTCATAAAAGTATTAATAAAATTCTAGAACTGTAACTGGAGAAGATTTTCAACAAGTTAAATAACAGCTTTTATGATGGTTCACAAATATAAAGATGATGAAAATCAGAAACAGGAAGTGCACTGGAATTTGAAAGATCACTTTTACTGCATCTACACAGTATTTCACCCAAAATTATATGTGATGTACAAGGTCTTAAAAGACTTCAATAATTCTTCTTTTTTTTCACTCCTCTTTTATATCCCGATGAAAATCTAGACTGAAAAAAATTATTTTAAATATTCCAAAAATTAAGATTTTGTATGTTGTAAAGTAATAGTTTCACATAAAAGTAATTTTGTTTTAATTTCGGGGGGCTCAAATTTGTCCTGCTTTTGGGGATGCAAAGATTAAATGATTTTATTATATAAAAATACTCACTGAATTTTCACAAAATATAGTAATGAAGTTTTAAATGTATTTCATATGAATTTACAAAGTGTAATTCTAAAAAGAGCAACAAAACTCAATTTTAAAAAAATTATAATTTAATAGAAATTCCATTTCCAACAAATATAGTTTTTGGTACATACAAATCAAAATTCTTGTTAAGTAACAGAAGCACTTTCTTTATGGACAACAAGGCCCTTCTGTATAAGGTCTGGAATTTCCACAGCTAGCCATGGACCCAACTACAAAAAAAAATAGATAATAAATACATAAATAACACTTTCAAAATATTATCAGACATATGAGGGTTAATTTACAATGTAATACAGTCAAAAGTCGTTAATTCGGACACCCATAATCCGGACCTCAAAGCTAAAAACTTTCTGCACATGCACCGTTTTGACACATGCACATAGGCGTTTACGCGTGCGCATAAGACCATTTACCACTGCGCATATGCGTGTGCGCAAGCGCAGAATATGTTTTCACGTGCGCTTTTTATGTATAACGGACGGTATAATCTAAAATTATCTAATTATCTATTTCAATTAATGTTGATGATTGCGTTGTTCCTTAATCTTCGAAATGGATCCGGCTTATTATTTTTTGCAGACTGTAAGAGCAATTTTATAAAAGTAAACTTGAACTTTTGATTATGTTAAATAGAATCTCCAATTCTGGAGCTCCCAAAGGATCCTACAAAACGAAAGTATGTTTCAATGTCCATCAAACACAAAGTGAAATTGCTGCAAAAAATGGATAAAGACATGAAGAATGTGACAGAGAGGTTAGTGAAAACGAAAAAATTTCGATTGACAAGTTAGTCGGTATTCTCGGCACAACAATTAACGGGACTTGAACAGCGGAACTTTGTAACTGAACAAGAAATTGTGTCTGTTTATAGAATTAAAGAGAAAGTATTATCACATAAAACGAAGCAACTTAAAACAACTTGCATTGAAAGAAATGTTTAATAAAGTAAACAAATAAATATTAAGCTTTTTTTTTTTTTTTTTTTTTTTTTTTTTTTGTAAATTTTGATACTCTTTAGATTATAATTGTTCTTTATTTCATAAATTAAGTTTTCATATTTTTAATTTTAGACTTTCTGCATGCCATCTTACGAGATTTAAACTGATGATCTATAATCCGGAAAAATCGATAATCCGGAATTGCCGAAGTCCCGACGAGTCCGGATTAACGACTTTTGACTGTAAATACAGTTATATGATAACAGGGATGTTCATGTCTACAATCAGTTTAGGAATTCCTGGTAAAATCAATGGGATGGCTTCTTAATGGTGACCTGTTGTTAGGGTGTTGGTGCCTTTATACAAGCTGGCCAGTATTTGAAAAGACAAAATCCTTCTAAAGTGCTCACATCCTTACATAGATCAATTTTTAATTTGTATAAACACAAATTTAAAAGCCTATTTGCATAACAGTGTTCTAACATTAAGTTGCCTGCACCTTTAGAAGGGATTCTACTATGAAATGTTTCAAACTGATGAATCAGATCATAAGGAGCACACTCCAGATCTCAGCCTATGGAAAATTGTAACTTACTCATTTAGAATTTTTCCTCTATGCAACCCTGTACAATCACTAGAAAATGTACTCTCTCTAGTTGCAGGAAACAGTAAAACTACACATCTGCAGAATGGTAGTAAGTCATACGGCTGGCTGAATTCGGTCACTCTGGATGGAAGGAAAGATACAAGTACGGTATGAGCAACACACACTCATTCTGCCTAGACTCTTCTACAAAATTTGGGAAAAAAAATTTTTTTTTTTCCAAATTTTGTCCTGAATATATGTAGATTTTTTTCCTGAATTTAATAAATAAATTAATAAATTAATGGATAAATTTTTTTCCTGAATATATGGAGAAGTACATACACCGAAGAACCATTACATTATGTCCACTCTCCATCTATAACAATGAGCTCGATCAGAAACAAAACCACTGCGCGTGTGCGTCTGATGTTGGAGTATATAAAGCGGCTATGCATTGTCTTTCCAAATATACTGTGATTAGCGACATAATGGGAAAAGCAGCTGATTTATCAGACTTCAATAAAGTTCAAATCATTATGGCTCGGCGACTGGGAACATCAACAACAGAAACAACATGTTTAGAGGGCTGCTCTCGTGCAGTTGTTGTAAGCAGCACATATCGAAAGTGGTGTATGGATGGTGAAATGACAAGCTGCCTGCCAGCAGTGTGTCATTGACGCCACATTGATTCCAGGGAAAGCGGAGATTACTAAGCATTGTTCACTGTGACCGAAGAGCTACAACTGCTGAAATCACCACCAGCTACAACAATGGCGAACCAGACAGTGATTCTCATAACACTGTGCAGCGTACATTGCTGTGTATGGGCCTATGCAGCCAAAAGCCAAAGCATGTCCCTGCACTGACTGCATGCCATTGCCAGCTGCTTCTGCAATGGGCCAAGAAACACTGGAATTGGATGATAGAAGAAGGAAGAAAGTTGCATGGTTCGACGAACCATGTTTTCTGGTACATCACATCAATGGGCGTGTGCTAATATGCCAATTTCCAAACTAAACCCTGGTTCACAGATGCACAGTTGGACGGAGACAAGATGGTGGTGGCGTTATTATGGTCTAGGCAATGTTTTCATGGAGCACATTAGGACCCATAATCCCCATAGAACAATCCCCGATGTCTGTGCGCTATGTGAACATTGTTGCAGACCAGGTTCACCAAATCGAGACAACAGTATTTCCGGTGGGGATTGGTGTTTACCAAGAGGCTAATGCACCATGTCATAAGGATCGAATCGTCAGGGAGTAGTTAGAGGAACATTCCAGTGACTTTCAAGTCATGTCTTAGCTTCCAAATTCATTTGACATTAGACATCAATTCCAATAGAGCATTTGTGGTCCCAACTGGAAAACCAAATTTGTACTGCCACGCTACTTCCTTGTAATGTGTGGGTATTGCAGGACCAGTGATGAGTACTTGGTACTAGATACCTCAGACTACCTATCGGTACCTTCTGGAGTAAATGCCATGTGCCTCCGTGCCTGAGCGAGAATCTAGATATGACGCAACACGCGTCTCGTTCTTCTCGTCAAACACTATGTTTGCTTACAATTTTGAGGGCTAAAGGTGATCCTACATGTTATTAACAGGATGGTCATAATGTAATGGCCCTTTGATGTATATGCTACATGCTGGCTGATCATGTTCGCTTTCCTTTGTGGATTTTGAAGCTGAAATATATTTCAAGATGACCAGGTATTTCCTGAAATATGTGATCTATCACTTAGTTATTTATTTCATACATAGCACCAGAGGAAAGGCTATTTTTAAATATGAAAATATATATAAATGCCTATATGATTAATTGTAATTGATGCATTATATTAATTACACAATGCATATATCATTAATTAATATAATAATCTATTAAATATTCTGTTCCACTAAATTTAAAAATTGTTACTTATAAGGAGTAAGACTGCAGTTTTGGCGAGTTTCTTCAAACATATCACCAAGCCATTAGTATTCATCATAGCATGGGCAGTTCCACTAAATTTAAAAATTGTTACTTATAAGGAGTAAGACTGCAGTTTTGACGAGTTTCTTCAAACATATCACCAAGCCATTAGTATTCATCATAGCATGGGCAATCACTGCCAACACATTAAAAGAATTAAAAAAATGAATTCAAAATAAATAAAATGATGATTAAAAGTACTATTTATAGTTAATATGAAAATGATACATTACTATTGTTATTCCAATGTACACAGAAATGTTTTTGCTTAAGAAAACATCAGAAAATTGCACAAATTCAGTGCACACATTAAATATTATATTATATTATATACATTATTTTCTTTTTCCATATACATATTGATCTATTTTCACTTAAAAAATATTAGAGAATGCACAAACTTGACATCTTGTGCAGTCTTGGCATTAAGCACATTAAACATTACAAACACCATATTATAGGTATTATTGTTTTTCTCTCCATGTACATAGTAATCTGTTTTCGCTTATAAAATCTTAGAACTACATAAACTTGGCATCACCACCAATCTTGGCATTGCAAACATTAAACATCTTGTAGATTACGTGATACATTACTATTGTCCTAATATCTCATCCCATTAATTATGGTTATTAAAAAAAGAAATTTTCCAAAATAAAATCCTTACAAAACAAAACAAGGAAAATAGAGTTATTATGATAAAATCATTAACAAATACAAAAACTGCCAAATTTGAAGTGCGTTATTCTTCACTTTAGCCAAGAGAAATTTCACTAGTTTCATAATTAAACAATATCTTCATAAAATTAAAAAAAAATTAGCTTTCATTTTCAAATGTGCAATAAAATGACAGTAAAAACAAAATGATAAATAAATAAAAGCAGTGAATCACATACTACATGACTATCCATGCCTAGCCATAACTAATCAGCTCCATGAATCCAAGACTGATGCCAAAGGTATAGATGTTATAAGAGATGTTTTGCAACTACTTAAGTAATTCACTAATATCCAATCAAGTCTACACCTTGGCTTATAAACATTTATTCTAAAAGAAAGCTGAGATATTGCCATGAAGGTATCTATATGGTTGTGTAATATAGTACTTTAAAGAGTACTGAATATACAGTCAATCTCCACTTACCAAGAATGATATCTATGGTTAATTCAAAATCATGGTTAATCCAAGGGTTGTTAAAAATACACAGAAAAGAGGAATAACACACGTTACAATAAACGGAAAGATATTATAGTAGTTTACTTCTATTTTTGAGAAGCTTGATGATGTGAATATGTTCTTTTGGTTATGTAAACTAAATTAATATTCAAAGTTTTCTTCCTCTCTTCATGGTACACCTGCTATTTGTGGCTTTTTATATTATTTGAATACGCGTGGTACTTCAATAAGAATCAATGGAAAATAAGATTAATGGCAATATACTTGAATTACTTTTATGATTGGGCAATTCTCTTTCACCAGATGACCTAACAATGTTTATACATTCTGGATTATATACAGCTGTAGACAAGAACAATTCCCATATAACATGATACAATTTGCTATCACTGCTGTAATTCCATATACTTTTCCTTTTTTATTTTCCCTTGGCAATTTTCCTGTCGTTTCACAGTAAATAAACCTTTTCTTCGCTTAAAGATGGGCTAGTTAATCTGGAACCTGTTTGATTGGAAATTACTCAGGTTCAAGATTAAATAACCCATCTCTAAGACTGATAATTTTTAAACATTTTAATGTTATTTTTATGCCACTGTTTTAATTTGCTTTTCATAAATGTTTCTGTGGAAATTTACGATCAATTTAATTAAATTTGACCTTATTAGCTGCCTCTCTTCCTTTTCGTTTTCTTAAGTTGTTAAAATTATGTTAACAAACTGTTTAATATTTTCTAGTTCATTATGCCTTTTCTCTGAGGCGAATTTTCAATGTACTGTATAATTTCTCAGTTAATTGGCATGTCCTGGTCTTAAATGACTGGAACGCAAAACTTATTGTTGCATTTGCTGCTAATAAGTTGAAATCTTTCTAACATAATGCATCACAACAGCCAGCTTTATTGGAAGCAGAGCTGATATAATTTTAGATATTAAATTGAATTCACTATCAGGAAAGTTAATTTGTAAATTTAAGTCAGTTAATTATATTTTTTAACTTGAAAATCGTTCCGTTGTGTTTTAGAATCTAATATTAGCATAAGTTCTTTTTTTCATTTCAATAAGTATATATTTTTATAAAACACTATTTTTAGTTTTTAGTACGGGAACAATTAAATATTTCAACAATTTTCGAATTACCTTAATTATAGGAAAACTGATATTATAGTTTTATCATCTTATAGTATTAACAGATTCTAGTTTAGTTTTTAAAACCTCTTGCAATTAATGACTGTCTCAATTCAATTGAAGTACAATGATTCATGAACATATTTTACATCCTGACAGCATGCTTTTTTATCATATAAACAGTAAAACCAAGCTGAAGTATTATTGGCAGATTTTTTTATGTTTTCTGAAGTCATTATTATTTATTATGGATAAATAAAAAACAAAACATACACATTATGAAAACAAATATTCTGAATAATAAAGTATGATATAAAATTTGAACTATTTTTGAAAAAGGAACTCACCAATTAAAAAAAAAATACCTAACAGTTTCTGTTTAAACATTTTAAAAGACTACACACAATTTCACTATAACCATCGATACTTCCATATCAGTAGCAAATGCAGGAGTTACTTTTTGAATGTTAACATTTTTCAGGAGGAAAGATTGCATTATTTAGGAGAAGCAATAAACTTGAAGATCATCATGTAGCAACAGCTACGAGGCTACTATGAGGTGCTGACAAAGAAATCAAGGTTTGAACAACCCAGTTAAAACTGGTTGGCAAAGTCAGGTGATGTGAGGTAGGTTTCATACATACTACATGCTTGACCTTGATAATATGCGGACAAACAGAAGTGAGACAGCAGATGATTCACGTTAGTACTGCCAAATCGGATGAAAAAAAATACATACTTCAACAGGGTTCGTACCCACATTTTAGTTAAAAAAATAAGCACCTATAAGCACTTTTCAAGCACATTTTAAGAAAAAAAATAAGCACCTGTCTAATTACATCATACACAACTGCATAACCTTAAAAATTAGACTTGTAATTTAAAATATGATAAATGAAGTACTTATTAAGAGAGAATAAGCATTACCTCAACCATGGAAAATAATTACTTTTTTTAATTTTTTTTTTTATTTTTAATTTTAAATAATAGTTCAATTTACAGAACTAGTTTACAATGAGAGAAAAAAAAACTATGAAGAACTAAACTATATTACAAGATTTAATGATGAAATTTCAGTTCAAAATAGAGAATATAAATAATAATAAGTCATATTTATTGTATTCGCTTGGAACCTAATAATAAATACAATTTATTTTTCCACTAATATTGATATTTAAATAATTTAAATCTAAATTCTGAACATTTTCTAAATTTTCACTGTACATCAGTTTTTTGTTAACAGATATTGCAAGCAAAGTAATTTAAGTAAAAAAGAGGAACATTTCTGAAATCAGAAGACAGAAATTTGCTTCATGCAGTCATCTTTAACAGTAAAAGCTTAACTAACCCGCATACTTGGAAATTGGCAAAGATTCGGACAGTCGAGCGTATCTTGAAGGAGCAGAGGGGGGAGTAGACTGTAGCCGCTCTTTTATTTTCTTTTCTGCTAAATAAATGCTTTTGACATCTCAATAAGTGCATCATGTAAAATAAACCAACAGAACTAAAAATATTCTGCTTAGCAAGCATAGTAAAATTCTTTTAAGTGTTCATAAACAAATCTCGAACTGAACAAAATTAATTATCTCTGCAAAATATCGCAAACATTTTTGCGCAATATGTGTGCGGTAATCTTCCCTACATGATATTACGCAATCGGAATCAACAACTGCCGGTATTGGGAGAATAAAGAACTAAATAACTGGGTTTTTCTTCTAATTTTCAACAGACACTTAAATTTCTGAATAGAATCATTCTTTCGCTTGGGTTGGTAGACCGCAGAACGTTTAGTCTTATTCAATCCAGATTGGAAAGTGACCAAAAAAAAAAAAAGTATCCGTTTCTTGTTTTGCAGTGAACTGTAACAGTTTTCAATACTCAAGATTTATTCTTTAAAATAAAAGCTTAACTGGAATACTGACTACTCGGAAATTGCCAAATATCTGAAAATTCTTGGATAGTCGAGCGTAACTGGTAAAGAAGAGAGGGGCTAGATTGTAGCCGTTTTTTAGATTTTTTTCAGCTAAAATGCTTTTGACATTTCGAATGTGAATACATAAAAATAGTCCAATGAAGTGAAAATATCCCCTAGCAGCACAGTAAAACTGTTTTAATCTCTGCAAATATGGCAAACATTATTGCGCAATATGTGAGCCTTAATTCTTCCGCACGTGTTGTTATGCAATCAGAATCAACAGCTGCCGGTATTCGGACCGTTATGCGTCCATGTGGCATATTTATAATTGAGCAGGACACGTCGTCTCTCCGCGCAATATCCATACTACACTCATATTGATTAATAAAAAGATTTACCAATATGTGGTGTTTTTCATTCTAATTTTGAACAGGCTGCATTAAATTTCCGGAATAGAATCATTCTTTGCTTGGATTGGTAGACCGCAGAACTTTTAGTCCTATTTAATCCAGGTTGGAAAGTGACCAAAAAAAAGTATGTTGCTTGCTTTGCTGCAAACTGTAACGGTTTCAATATTCGAGATTTTGTGGAGAAAGGTAAGAACACCCAACTTGCGTACTGTTTAATGCATTGGAAAAAAAAAAAAAAAAAAAAAAAAACTATTTTGACTATTTGATTACTTTTACTTTATTTATGCCATTCTGAATATTATTCCTTAGAAAACTAATCTGTGTTAAAACACACCCATTTTTGAAGTTTATCTATACTTCAGCAGTTACTGTAAATTTATTATGTTCGGTATGATCATAATAAATGTGAATATGAACTGACCACGTGGAACGAGAATGTAAATTATTAAAATCTTGATAGAAATTCAAACGTGTGTAGTACTGGGTGGGAGCAAAAGAATACAGTATTTACTGTAATTTCTACCACTTTCGCAATTCTTTGACCAATAGAACAACGTGCACCTGTCTGTACTTGCGCACAAAGGTTATGTTATGCAGAGAAAGGGGTGAAAAGTGACTTCTGGGAGTATGATTCACCCTCATGATCCATATAAGGAAGAAAAGTTGTTTATTTAGTTTCAGCTTCGGTACAGGGAAAATAATATTCGTTAAAAAAAAAAAGCACTAAAACCAAAAAATAAGCACTAAAAACAAAAAAAATAAATGCTTCAGAGAAAAAGTAAGCACCTATAAGGGCTTTTATTTTTTATCTTCAAATATAAGGACTTATAAGCACTTGTAAGGACCGCTACAAACCCTGTTCAAATAACAGTAGGTGCCAAATAAGTAAATTTAACCTTTTAATAAAACAACATATTTATAGCTAATACTGAAAATACCAGTATTTTACCTTAGCAAATATTAGTTTCACAAAATGCAAAAATAGAACAAAATACCAATATTTCATATACTAGAATCCCAATATTGTAATCACTAGTCATACAGGTATAGTCACACTCCACTCATTGGGCAGCTCTGTCCTACTTTTGAGAGAAATCCGGAAGGCAGTCTGAGGATCTCCCTTCCTCTTCCCTCATCACCAAACTACTCAAAAATACTTCCGGCTAGCCATTCTTTTGATTAACTCAATGCCACACAGACACAATACATCTAGAGATATTCATGCTTTCTCTGGGCTTTGTACCTGGAACCATCAGTATAGCAGCCAGTGTTGCTAATCGTTATGCCGATCAGGACAGCACACAGAAATGTAGTAATTTCCTTTATTATTACAGATGCAGCTTAATAAAATATGTACCTAATATAAAGAGGGACACACTAATGTAGTTAATTAAGTTAATATATTTAACACACCAATGTATTTAAAGTTGGGTCTATTTTTTCCCCTCTGAAGAAGAACATGTGTTTGTTCAGCCTCAAAATATATGTGTCAATTTTTTTAAATTGTCATTAATTTTTTTAAAATCTGTCAATCTAAGACTGCTTTTTGAATTTTAAAATCTGCTCTTTTACCTTTACTATTATATTATATTATTACATTCAGGGTATACCGAAGGAACAATATATTAGGATTAATGATGCAATACAAAAAAAGACTACTTACACCCAAGGCCATGGCATGCGCGATTCCAAACTTTGGAACATTTCTTGCCCATAGAGGTTTAAAGTGATCAGTTAGACATATTTTGCCTCCTCTACAAAGAAAGCACATGACTTTTATTACATGCAAAAAGTTACACTTCAAATGAAATACAAGTTACATGTCAAATAAAAGAATGTACACATTTCTGCACATGGAAATTAAGTACTTTTAAGGAAAATTAATAAAAAAAATTAAGGACCTATGAGCAAATGGGAACATAACAAATTCAATAAAAAATATTATCTATGCCTGAACTTTACTTTTGTAACACCACCCTAAAAATAAAATAGATCCGTAAATAGGATGTATTATTATTAAACAAAACATAATTATTAATAAGTTTGAGAATAAAATAAACTTTATGAAATTCATCAAATAGCATTAAACATTTTACACTTATAATAGTTGGACATATTTGAAAGAAGACAAGTGAATTATATTTACGTTTTACTAAGAGTTAGCTTTATGTTGATTTTTTTTTTATGTCTCATTTTTGTCTTTCTCAGCCTAAAGGTTTAGTAAATAGCAGGTAGATTTTTACGTCAAGTGACATACGTTAAAATGAGAAGTAAAATAATAATCAGCATGATTCATAACAAAAGACTGCCTGCTATTACTGCTGCCCTTTCCCTAGAGAGAGAGACCTGCTGATCAGAAGAAACGTGAAAGTCCTGACGTAGGCATGGTTGGCAACTTTTGAAAGTTAGTTGGCTTTGTCTAACACAGTTAGTGTCGTAACTTCGTGTAGAGTTCCAGGGGTTGTAACCCAGTAAATGTACTTTAAGATTCCAACAATCCACTAAAGCACCAGAGATAAGTTGTTTTGTTTTATTTTAAGTCTCACTAGATGCAAAGAATAAGTTTTACATAAATTTTACATTTTTGCATTTTATCTTGTGACTACAGTAAGGGTTAATGAAAGGAAATAATTTCCTTTAATATGCAGAGATAAATTTTAGGGTAAACAGTTAGTTATAGATAATAAATTAGGTAGTTAGATAACCTTAGTTAGATAACCTGGATTTACATGGCCACTATTAAATTTCATTTATTCTTTAACAATATTTGTTAAAAAAGCCCTATTAAAATCACAATCTAATAAAATTTATGACATGTAATTTATCACATTGATTCTTAAACGATATTAGGATAATTATACATTAGAAGCTACAGAACATTTGTTTTGTAGCAACCAAATTCAACAAAATATTTATGCGTCTTTTAATTTGAAGCCTTCCCAGACATTTTGGCTAATTTATATCGATTTCCTTCTCTTCAAGCATCTTTTCTAACGATTAGAAATTTGTCTCAATATGCTAACTAATGCTCTCACTAGTTTCCGCATGCTTTATCTCCTAACTTATCAACCTCTCCCGAATATACTTATGAGAGTTACTTGATCTGGTAAAATTAAAATGACACAACTCCCCAGACGTGAAGCAAATTACTGCTATGTCTGAAAGTAACTACAAAGTCACAGAAAGGTTAAAATAAGTCTCTTATTTAAAAAGAACTTAGAACATAAAGGCATGCTTTTCTGCTAAGAAAATCATTTGTAACTCATGTTGATGTAATTAAACAAGAAGAGTCAAATTCAAACTAAAATTGTGGACTAGTGGTCAAAGACTATGGAATTTAATTTTAATTTAAGCTAGCTCAGCAACTTTTATAGTCATAAGAAATTCAAATGTTAGCAGCGATAACACAAAGATGCATAATTACAAATTATCAGAGCTGGCAACGAGCAAGCAGAGGTCATAAACACACCCTGTCTTACACTCCAAAAACCTCAGTTTAAAAACTCTCTAAGTGGTTTGCATTATGGTGAGGAAACAGAAATGGAAAATTATAGTAAATGCTAAAATTATAAACAACTGAGAAATTTACATAATAATAATTGAACATATCTTTGAAAAATAATTTTCTTTTTCTTCATGCATTCAGTTTCTATCTTCAATATGTTTCCTTTTCTTTTTAGAACTTTTGGATTTAATTAAAGATTTCTGTTGTTCTAAAAAAAACTAAATGCATTTAGAATATATAGAAAAAGCTGCTCACTTCATTTCTTTAGTAATATGAACATTCAGAAGAAATATGAAATAGGTAAGGGCCGGTTACAGAGCTCGTGTGGCATAATTTTTAGAATTTAATGACACACCGAGTGACAAAATCTAGAAATGGCAAAACGTTTAGAATTTAAGAAGCGAAATCTAGAAAAGCACTATTAGAGCTTTTCTAACTTTTTATGCACACACTAGCAGAATTTAGGATCTACAGAGATTGCATCAAGTGGAAAAATGCCTAGCGCTAGCCCCGTGTATGATGCATTAAGACACATTAGATGAATCTTTTAAATTGTCAGTTTTTAATTTCTTTATTAATTAAAAAAAATTCTTTTCTATAATGCCTGTCCATGCAATTAGATTAGAAACATTTTTGATATTTTCCTTGCCTGTGATTAGAGAAAAGTACGGAAAATAAAGGGAAGATAAACATGTTAAGAAAAAGATTTTAGTATCATAAGTAAAACATTCAAATATTATGTTTTCATTGTTCTTCCAGATGTTCTCTAAAATGTAAGAATTTCTCTGCAAACTTCCTGTAAAATATATCCATTACGTGTTAATACTATGAAGACATTTTTCAATTTGTCATATTTTTCTGGAATCTTCTAGATATTGCCTTCAAATACTGCAATGCTTAAAATCCTAAAGAAAAATTACCCCTACCAGTTCTGTAACAGCAGAAAGCCATAAATATTTTGGAAAAGAAAATCACAGGGAAAAAGTGTAAAATGAATTTTATAGATAAAACTAATGCATATTCTGAGACAATGACATGGGAAAAACTTTTACCATAAAAAAGAAGACATTTTTTAATTAATTACATAACTATTTTGCTTTTCCTAAGAACTGTTTTGTAAATTGTGCTTTATACCATTATACCTTGTTTATTTTTCAAAATATTGTATAAGTGACCAAAATGGAACTTTATAATATGACAATGAAAAATAAAAATGTTTTATTTTAATGTTATTTTTGAAGTATAATTTGAATATCGGGGTTCGTACACATTTCTGCACACAGAAATTACGTACTTTTAAGGACCATAAATGAAACAATTAAGGACCTATGAGCAAATGGGAACTGAATAAATTCAATTTAAAATACTATTCTATACCTGAATTTGACTTTTGTAATACCATCCTAAAAATAAAATAGATCCCTGAGTAGTATGCATTATTACTAAACATGAATTAATTAACATAATGATTATAAGTTTGAGAATAAATCAATTTTTATACAATTTATCAAGTAGGATTAAATATTTTACACTTATAATAGTTGGACATATTTGAAAGAAGATGACATTTACTTATGTTTTTACAATAGTTAGCTTATATTGATTTTTTTATGGTCTCATTTTGTTACATATTTGGTCAGTCTAGCGTCTAGACATTTAGCAAATAGCAGGTAGATTTCATGTCAAACAGTATAAGTTAAAATGAGAAGTAAGATCATCATAATCAGCATGATTCATAACAAAAGACTGAAGGTTGTTCACCACTATTGCTTGTCTAGAGAGAGACCTGCTCATTAGAACAAACCTGAAAGGCCTGATGTATGACACAATTGGCAAGTGTTGAAACTTAGTCAGGTTATTTAGTTTGATGCAGTTAGTGTCATAGCTTTCTGTAGAGTTCCAAGGGATTGTAGCCCAGTTAATATACTTTAAAGCTCCAATAAGCGATTAAAGCTTGAATTTTTAAATTTTTGTGTTTTATCTTGTGACCACAGTAAGTGTTAGTGAAAGGAAATAACTCGCTTTGATATGTAGAGGTGACGTTTAAAGGTAAGCAGTTAGTTATAAAAACGAGAGTTGGAACTTTAATAGTGGCAACACAGCTGAAAAAACGCTACGCAACAAAACCAAAGAATATCGCGTATACCATCCGTCAATTACATACCTACCTTACCTCTCAGCAAAAAGACTCGTCCTGCCTACGTCACGCGCATGTGGAGGACGCGATGAAAGGATCCTTGTATTAGCTCGCGGTCTAAAGTATGTGTTGTCAGGATGTTTTCAAAACAAGAACAATGTTGTTGGATAAAAATTGAAAGTGCCAGAGGTCGTACAGCATGACAGTGCCATCAAGGGCTTCAAGAGGCTTGCGGGGAATCTGCATTGCCTTACAAAATCGTAGCAAGATGGGTGAAAGCATTCAATGAAGGACGCCAAAACGTGGCAGACATGCTGCGGCCAGGTCGTCCTAATGTCAGCGATGCAGACATGCAAGCTGTTGCCGCTTTAATGGACAGTGATCGCCGCCAAACGATTCGTCAGCTTGCCGGACAAACAAGATTAGCGCATACGACTGTGCTGCACATTCTGAAGGAACGCCTGTCCATGACAAAAATTGCTTCACGATGAGTTCCACATCAATTAACGGAAATGCAGAAATGGCTACGATACGATGCTGCCTGAATCCACCTGGAGCGCTATGAGTGCGAAGGAGATGCTTTTTTACGCCGTATCATTACGTTGGATGAGACTTGGGCCCGATCGTACCAGCCAGAACTGAAACGTAATCAAACGAATGGCGTCATCACGGGTCACCACGACGTTTGAAATTTCGTCAGAACTCCAGCAATGTGAAAGTTATGGTGATTCTCGTGTATGACTGTGATGGAGTCATCCTAATGCATACCATTTCCCCACAGCAAACCGTCACTGCGCAGTATTACTGCTCATTTTTGGAGCACAATCTCCGACCAGCTTTGAGAAAAAAACGGCGACACTTTCTGCAGAGCTCTCCTCTCATTTTGTATGACAATGCTTGGCCGCATGCAGCGCAAGCTGTGACTGATTTGTTTAAGTGATGGGGCTGGGAAGTGCTTTACCATCCACCATACTCCCCAGATCTAAGCCCTTGTGACTATGACTTAATTCCTAAGATGAAGGAACCACTTCGTGGCACTCGCTTCCAAACTGTTCCTGAGATTCTTGCAGCAGTAGACCGGTCCATTCAAACTATTAACAAAACAGGCGCTG